GCTACAGCCAATCACCTTGAATCTGAGCCGCCAGTTTGGACCGTTAATCAAAAACGCTTCACTGCGGTGTGACGTCACCGATCAGCTGCTGCTGCACCAACACCACCTCCGACTTCCAGGAGTGTCTGTGAATTTTCCCACTCAGGAATTCACTTAATCCTGACCCCACAGGAAGGCACGCTCGCTCCTTCAGGATCGTCTTAGTGAAGAGTGGGCTTGTTTCAGCCTCTCGAGGGTAAAAAGGCCTGACCGCTGGTCTCATTATGTGCCGAAGGAGCTGTGGATCTGCTCGCCTGGTTTCATGTCTTCACACAGGTGCATGAAAATAGCTCAGTGCTCTGTCGCTGTTTTAATCAAACTTTTTATCAGGTTCCCTTTGGAGTCCCAGCGTCCGTGAGCCGCTCAGAATCAGACGATGTTTTTGTATTTATATGTTTGTGAGGCCAGTTTGGGTGGGCTGGAGTTTTGCTGTCTTCACGGTTTCTAAAGTTTCACGTGGAGATGTGCTGGAGAAAAAAAGAAGCAGCTGCGGATCGGGGGGATCGGGATCCACGTCGGGCTTCTGGTGAAGCAGCGTGGTGGATGCCTCCGAGCTCCTGGTGGGGGTGGAGGGGTGGTGTTTCCTGCCTGTGTGAAGTGATGTTTGCTCGAGCTGAGCAGCGTCAGAACCAGGCCAGACCTCCCTCAGGGCCGTGCCACCCGCCCCATGTAAACAACTTGCTCCAGTGTATGTTAGCAGACACTTTGATGTTAGCAGCTCTCTCGCTTTCTCTTCTCTTACTCTTAAATATTTCATTCATCGCATTCATGTCGCCTGGAACGGCTGCAGTCGCTCTCAGGCACCGCTTTGGGTAACGCACACGTTCAGCTCAGACTCAGTGAGTCCACTAAAGTTTGTCAGGTCTGCAGAAGCTTTGAGGGCTCGAGGAGGTGCTGGACAGGCTCCTGATGGTTTAGCTGGGATTGTACCTCCCTCTGGTGGACACTTGCGATAACTACAGTTTACCTGTGCAGGACTTAAATCCTGATGTTGTTATTGTTACTGAAGCAGGGTTTCCTTGTTGAGCTCAGTGTCTCAGTGTTCACCTGTGTGTGTATATTAAAGGTGACCTGTTCTGCCCTCCCTCCTTATCTGGTCCCGCCTCAGTGCAGCCCTTTAACTCACCCTCTCTTTGAAATAAGCCGTTTTAACGCCAGTTCTCTCCTCATTGGCTGCCCCTCAGAAGTTCTCTTTAAGACAGACTCCAGCATGATCTTAAATGGGCGGGACCACTAAGAGCTGTCGCCCAATAACCTTGCGATAAAATCACCTCCTTCTTTTACTGTGAAGAAGCTTAAATATGTTAAAATGTTCACATTTACTAAACCGTGCGTTTATAAAACCGATGAGTAAAATAAGTCTCAGTTTCTCCGTGGGAATGCTGAGTAAATCGGCTCCTTGGACTTAACTGCCTTACTTGTGTATAAGCGCAGAGCGTGTGATGCCTTTCAGTCCGACAGTTAAACTGACTCAGACCTGTGGCTCAGCTGATACAGACGATAATGATGCAGAACAGAGTGAAAAGTGCCACATCCCTCCTGCTTTGAATGCTTACACATTAAAGCCACCCACTGGGCCTGGTTGGACCCTTTGGTGACCCAGTTCTGGGCCCCAGGCTTTACTTTTAACATCTCTGGATTTAGACAGCTTCACATTTTGTTACAGACGTTTATTTCTGCTGTAAAATGATAAGAAAATAATTTGTTCTTAAACTAATGTGAAGTGAAAACATTTTAAAATTGGGGGAAAAAACAACACAAAACAGAATTTTATGTATTCTTATTAACATACATACATTTTTGTTATTTCCATACACACGTTCAAACAACAAAAACTAAAGAAACGGCTGCGTGTTTTATGTTTGTGTAGTTAAAGTTAGGTCTTGTATGTTGTTCGTTATCTCTTAAAACTTAGTGGAAAAATGAAGAACTGAAAACATTTACACACATTTACATTTAATTTTATACACATTTTAAAACATGTGATGCATAAAATTTAAGTTTTAATTCTAATAAATGACAAACTATAAGCCATTTTATTTCCATAAACAAATTTTGCTGCAAACTGAAATGTAAAATAAAACATGTTTATTATTTGTTAAAACATTCATAGAAAAACTCAAAATATATATTTTATTTCCATAGACTTGTTCCTTTTTTCTTTAAAAAAAAACTGAAAACATTTAAATAAAAAAGAACAAATCACAGAACGTTTTATCTAAGAAATGTTTATGTTTTCAAAAAAAATGGCAATACAAAAAAAAATCATCAAAATCAAAATAGAAGATTGCTGCTCCATCATCCGACCCGCAACCGACGACGCCACGAAACGACGCAGACTCGATCCTCTCGACTGTGTTTCAGCAAATGTTATTAAAATATATCCGACCCTTTATTGGCCAAGGAAACATAACTGGCCTCACCATGACTCACCGTGTGATTATCCTGCCTTTAAGTCTGATGTCATTAGCCTTTTCGAGTCCAAATTCCGCTTCACCACAGCCGCTCACACTGCTCACGCGCAAACACGTAAACGTCGGTGAAAAAGACGGAGCAGCACGGC